TATATAACCATATCGGGGTCTGCCAAATAGGGGTATATCTGCCTCCCATATCAGGGTGTTTTTTTTTTCTATTCTGGCAGATTTGTTCTTAAAAAATTAATGAAAGCTGCACTTATGTGGTTCCTGCGGGTGAGTTATACGCCAAGGGGGACATTACGTGGGCGCTAAGCTTTGCGATTACTCGGCTAATGAATTAAAATTCACTAATGAACTTTTCAATTAGTGAAAATAAACATACGGTTCCAATCAGCAGCTAGTGGGGCGTCGTCCAAAATTCCTAAATCAGTCATTTTCAGAAAGTCTTTCAGCGCGTGAAAAGCGCACTAAAGGTACCACTCGTGAAGCCGGTACAAGGCTAGCGGTTTCGGTAAGGCGCCCCGCAATTTTTCTGTCTCTTATCTAGCCCCAGCCTTGTACCTGGTCCACAAGTGGTAACTTCAGCGCACTACTGCGCTTCACAAGCGCTCAGTCTTTCTAAAAATTACTGGTTTAGGGGTTTTGGACGACACTCAGCTAGTTTCTAATTGAAACTATGTCTATTTTCACTAATTAAAAGTTAATTAATGAATTTTAATTAATTACCCGACTTATCGCAAAGATTAGCAGACTACATAACGTCCCCCTGGGCGTATCACTCTCGCACAAACCGCATAAGTGCAGCGTTCACGGCTTCTTTTTAAACAAATCTGGAAGAAAAAAAACAAAAAAAAAAAAACGGTATTTACCACGCTGGTATTGTACTCTTCGACCCTTCACAGCAGAAGCAATGGTAAACTGTGCTGCGCTCGGCTGTAGCAATTACCCGGTATCCCGACGATCGTTTCGTCGGCATGAACCGCGAGACAGAGTGTCCGTCAAGTTAGAGAAAGTACAAGCGGGAGGAGAGGGATACGCCCGCGGATGACCGACTTAGCGGCACGCATCTCATAGCGGCGAGCAACGGCACTTTTCTACCGTTGTTTACGTTCGCGCACGCCTTTGCATCCGCTTTTGCCCATTCGTGGAGTAGATGTCCTGTGCCTATCGTTACATAACGGCGATCGGTCGGCGGCGGCCCCGTGTGCAAGTTCGCCGAGACGCCGCCGTCAGGGGATCGGTTTGTGCCGTCCGCGAGACGGTAACCCTGCAAGGAGCGAAAGTATCTTGGCATGCCGGTTAGGAAACATAATAATATAAAGCCTGAGTCAATGAGAGTTGTCCGTTATTTGATTTATTCTCATCCCAGGGTTTAGATTAGAACGGTAACTTAGCATTGTTTACCAGTATTTCGCAAAATCGTCACAATCTTTCTACAAGCGACTCGTAAAGCCGCTCGTCAAATTTTGGAACGCGTAATTAAGAGTCTGTGTTTCTGTTGTTTTTTGGCGACACGTCAAAACTTTGTCGGCGGCATATCAAAACTTTCTGCTTGTAGCGCAATCGCACTAATGCCGAAACATTCTGCACCATGATTCTCCCGGCTGCCAGGAGATAGACAGGGCCTAAATCTAGAAATAATCTGGAAGAATACATTTAGGAAAAACGATCAATTGACACCAAGTAGGTTGCAGCGCACTTACGTTGACGAGACGCGACTTGAAAGGTGTTATCCAAGGGAGATGTCGACACGGCCACGGCAAAACCACCACTCGAACACAGAAACGCAAAGGTGCCCGTGAAGATTCAACACGATGTAGCACAAGCTGTCGTTTGTAGAACCGAACACTAAACGGATCAGAAAACATTCTTGGGCTTCTTTGAAGAAATCGCTTGCAGAACCAGACATACGCAGCAGCCACAGATGGAGAATTCACACGCCAAACTAGGTCCGGCTAAACGCATTCCGAGATCGGGAACGGCTAATGCGTCATCCCTCAAACCACGTGACCACTCAACTTTTACAACGCTTTCAGCTTAGGGAGGGAGAGAAAAGGATCAAGGGAGAGGCCAAAACGGGGTTTCACGAACAAAAGGCTTATCTTACGGGGCCGCAACGAGGGGATGTGTCACTTGTAACGAAGGTTGACAGTGCTGTGAATGCTATGTGTGGCCTTGGGCGCCAGGCAGGTGCGATGTCCTGCTTTGCCACCAGATTCTAGACTGTAGTCACGTGACCCTAATCGGAGACACGATTGGCCTAAAACACGCGTAACATCTACCCTGCTGTCAATATCGAGTGAACATACAGCTCTATGATGTCCAGCTTTTGAACTCAAAACGATGCCAGTTTTACGCTGTATAGCCCACATTATAATTTTAAATAAAAAATAAACGCGACTATTTTTCTGTGTATGATGTCCACAAATAAATAAATATGTATATATATATATATATGTTTACCAATAAATTTAAAATCATGTGTACACTGTTTCAAATTGTTTTTACGAACGAGTTACACATAAAAGACACCACGGACAACACATCTTCCGACTTTCAACACACGATGAATCGCCGACGCTCGCAAACGAACGGATGCGATGCTGCGCGAACCGTTTTGATTGTTTGTTTGTTTAAGACGTATTTTAATGATTTTTCCACCACCTTGACCTTACGTCATTTGTGGGGAAGATGAGGGGTGAGAGATGGGGAATACGATGAGGATGAAATGTTTAAAAATAGTGCCGGATACCGGCTTCTCGAATGAACTTAAGCAGAGAGTCCAGCACAATCTTTCTGTGCTGTATGTCGCCCCCTGGTCGCGTCCACTCTACGAAAGTTTTGGATCGATGAGAAGCGGGGAGGTTGTATATGGTGGCCCGCCTTGAGCGTACAGTCGCTCTCCATTCCCAGAGAAGATGTTTTGAACCGTTTTGAAAGAGTTGCATTTTGTACCCCGGGCGCAACGGCTTCCGTTCGAAGGGAAAAAAGTTCGGGACGGCGAAGTAACGTCTTGCATCTTGAGTAAGCTAACGGGTCGTGTTTACCTGCTCAATTTAGCGGGGAAATATGAAAAAAAAATTGTTTCACTGCCCGATTTCGCGGCAAAATTGACGTCACGTGACAAACGTACCAATTCAATTTTTCGCTAAATTTAACGGGGCGGTTACACCGATGGCGACGCCAACACCGCTTAATTCGGAAGGGTGCCTAAGAGCTGCGACTAAAATCCATTGTTTGATTAAGTCGCTTTACGATCGCACTACGTCATATTGTCACACATCAAACATACAACCAAATTTCATTTGTCTTTTAATCTTCAAATTGAGCAATTGATTAATTGGTCCAAATACCTGGAATAACTTCACTTTAAGGATGTTAACAATAGTTAACCAATTACATGAGACTCATGCAATATAGATCAATCAACTAGCGTCTCAGCGAGTACATATAACTTGTTGCTTCCACAACTGAAACGGGCCCATATATCATTATCTGGGGCTATATTTGCCCGCGTATATGGTGATATATGCCTGTATTTACGCACTTATACGGCCAGATCTGGCAGTATTTGCCCACCTATATGGCGAAATACGGCCGTATTAGTTCCCATATCTGGCGAAATACGGCCCTATTTGACTGCTTATATTATTATATCTGGCCGTATATAAAATATATCAGGGCCATATCTGACATTTTCGTACGGGATTCAACCAGGCGAAAAGGAATGTTGAGATACGCCTGATATTCTATATAAGAAAGCGCATGCTCAGATTGCGCTCCAAAGCCCTGGCGACAAACATGGAAGCTTGTAGTAAGGGATTATTAGAATGGTCTATAACTGTGGTCTCAAACTCATTTGACTGTGGGGGCCAGGTAGCCCACACCTAAACGACCGGGGGCCAACGTAAGACCGAGGGGGGGGGGGATGTTCGAAGATTTTAATAAAAAAAGACCTCGTGCCCTATGCTTTTCGTAAAATCACGGTTTTTCCAGTGACATCTTTAAATTTGATTTTTTTTATATGCCTACTTTGGGCCCCGACTTGATGTGATAACAGAAATTAAAATTACACTGCCCCACCAACGTGCTGGCATTTCTAATAGAACAAGAGAGCAAGTATGTCGTTCTCAGCTCAACATGTTAAAAAATCGTTTAATTTGAAAGTTCTTAAACTCCTCACAATTTTTATTATAACGCTCTGAACAAATACCTTTTATTGTGATTTTTTTTTTGAAGGTGAGAATCCCGAGCTCATAGCTTTATCTCTGGTACTTGTTCCTGCTAAGCGAGAGTTTTCGCAGCCGACATGCATTCTTCAACGAATAGCTCGAGGTTGCAGACTAGTAACGGAATTGTTGTACATTACTAAAAGCTGGGAAGCAAGAATTAAAGCGAAACAAAGGGCAAATGAACACAGAGCATTATAAAATCTGTGCATACGTTAAAAGAGCAGAGCTATATACTTTCCGAGCAAAAATGAATCGACGAGATGAGATCACTATGACACATGTTATTTCTAGCGCTCGAGATATGGAAATCGGGACTCGCAGGGCCGGTTGCCTGCGGGCCACTTCTCAGCTTGTCGCGGGCCGCATGTGGCCCGCGGGCCACGTGTTTGAGGCCCCTGGTCTATAAAATATCGCGTGACTATATTATATGTCCATGTCCAGTAATTTGACGTCAGGTAAAAAATAAAGATCACGATTTCAAGAGATAAAAGTTAGCCACGAAAGCCCGCAGTATGCCACGGAAAATCACATTCTTTCTACACTGACCTTATGCGTAGGACCACGGGAATTCGAGCGTATCAGCTGTACAATAAAGCAGTAGCAGTAGTCATATGCTGACCACCGCCGCACTATGCGTTTGAATGTGCGCCTTTTCCAACATGCCAGTGATAGGAGCGCGAACCAGCCCCTCTCATAGAGAGCAGGCGCTGTGGCGCGATCTAGACGAGGTGGTGTAAGCACATTAGAGTGTCCCGTAGCAGGAGCGCGCGGTGAGGTGATGCAATTGTTCCGTTAGCATCTGGTAAAAAAAACAATGTTGTCGCATTACATTTTTCTAGGCAGCAGGGCGAGGGAAATTGTGGTTTTACTTTTCACACTCGACCCATAAATATCGACATATATACAGGCTACATGAGCACCGAAAGGGATCCTCCCTCTAACCAATGTATACAACAATGTAGTGCCGTCACGTATTCTTTCTGTGGTGCGTAAGTACGCAATAAAGTGAGAATCCGCACCGCGTGGTAACTTACATAAAACGCTACTCATTTCTCTGGGTTTGTGCAGTGTGCCACCTCGTGTTTAACACCGTGGAACTCTTCTTCGGTTCCTCGAGCAACGTGCCAGTCCTGATGCACTGGCTGCTGCAGGTGTGCGCGCAGAATCCAGAGAGGGTGCAAGCCAGGATTCAGAAAGAGGTCGACGACGTTGTCGGCCGTGACAGACAGCCCACATGGGAGGACCGCAAGGCGATGCCTTTTACCATGGCCAGCGTACTTGAGATAACACGGTGGAAGGTCACGGAACCCATTGGGTTGCCTAGAGGGTAAATTATATTTTTTTCTACCGTTATTTTGATATATAATCTTAAACTTGAGGGCTTGAAAGCAGTGCTTTGATTTGAAATGTACCAAATCATCGAGTTGCACTCTAATTGGTCATAGTTTGATTTTACTCAGAAACGTCTTATAACAAGAGTTTCGTGTGTTCGGTGATTATTTCCTCTGAATCTGGGGGGTGTTCTTTCTGTGTTTATACGTTTGCACAGATTCGGTGTTTTTTGGTGTCAGCTTTTTGCACCGGACAAAAAATCGGCGTTTATCGGGGCCCATATCGAAGAAAACAGGACACGGGAATCGAATTCTCCTACCCCACAGTGAAAATGCGACTGACCTGAATACCCGGAGAAGAATTCGGTATTGTTAAAAATAAACGAAACAATCGGCGTGGTTCCCCGTAAAAAAAGGAACGGCTTCGCCGACAGCTCAGTGAGGGTTATGTTTCATATGAACACGAAATAAAGCTTTAGATTGTTATGTACTCGGATCCAATATCACACTGGTTTATTCTATCTAAGTTGTTACACTGCACCGATCCACATAACGCCACTTCCGAAACCGTTCGAGAGTACCCGGAGCCACCTGCAGCCACTCCAGCGTACGCTCGCTCTCACTCCCGCTTCTTCCTCATCCCTCCCGTTCCCCCGCGCATCTGCGGGAGTTCTCTCGCTCTGGCTCACTTTCCGTGCACTGCCGCTGGAGGCGCCCCTGTCGGTGCCACGCTATCCTTCACAAGATATAAATATTTATTAGCGAAACTTGTGTTCTTTTGTATTCAAGAACTTGAATTCTGAGATTTTCGGTTTTCCCCGTCTTCAATAAAGCAAGTTTGGGGGCTATTTGGTGGGGTCCACCGGTATTTACAGATAAACATGAAGCCGTACTTATAACGCGCTGAACGAGTTTTTTCTTGGAAATGGTGCTCTTTTGAGCCAGAGAACTATGATTCTGAGTCTACGTGCCGATAAGAATTCTCTCTTGTCTGCCTTTGACTTTTTCTCGATAGACCTGCTAAGGTGGAGATGGGTACTATAAGGATGACAATTAATGCCTGTCACGTTCCTGAAGTGACGGTGAAAGCGAAAGACGAAGAAGGGGGCAAGCTCGAGCAAAAGGGAAAGGATAAGCTCGAGCAAAAGGGAAAGGAGAAGCTCGCGCAGGACATTCGACGACTAAACCTGAAGGGCGGCAGCTGAGACGCCAACGCTCCCGGCAGACCAGGCTTCGCTCCTGTGAACCCTGGCTCCGCTCCAGGTCTTCTCGCCGCCATCGAGCCGGAGCGACGTCGTGCCTGCTGCTCGCACCAGAAGCCCGGAGCATTGGACTTCGAGCTCGAAGGCGGACGCGAAGGGGTGGCCTCGCAACACTTCTGTCAACCCAGGCCGCGTACCTGGTTGGTCAAGCTACACCATCGAACCGGTGGTGGAAGGCCCAGAGCTCCTAGCAAGCTTGGATCCACACCCGTGACATCGAAGAACAAGGCCGGGTTCCGTTCCAAGCAAGATCGACGCTCGAGACTGTGAGTGTTCTCAGCTCCCACTTAAAGACGACCGAGACTGACTGTAGTGACTGTAGCTATTTAATCACTCTATTTTCTTTTTCTTTTCGCTTCCGCTTATAATTTTGTTTTCTGTTCTGCTTTTTTTTGTGCTTGTGAGTAAATTAATTTTTGTTCGTCTACTTATGTGTCGCTTCGTCTTTTGACCTGCCCTCGTCCCCCCGGAGGAACATGACAATTGGCGAGCCTGCCAGGATACGTGGCCCATTTCTGACCTCTTGTTCTTCTGAGAGGTAGACGAACGTCGGAAGGGCAAAAGGCATTCAGGGTCATTGAGGTAGAGAGATTAACGGCCGTCGGAACGGAACTGGGCTATGCTGGGCCAGAGTTGAGAAAATGGGTGGACGACGAAAGAGCGCGATTAAGAGAGAAGAGAGCTCACGAGCGTGAGTTGGCAAGGGAAACCCGCGAAGGGGAACTAGCTAAGCAAGCTACCCTAGAGAAGGAAAGGGAGATATTGCAGTTGAGAATCGCTGCGCGAGGGGGTCACCCGGAAGGGGCTGATGGGCGACGCGGAGACGCGCAAGTCCAAGCTCTCCGAGGGAGTCCTCACAAGTTGATCCCGCAATTCAATAAGCGGACGGACGATTTCGAGGCATACCTGCAGCGTTTCGAGAGCACGGCGACAGGTTTGGGGTGGCCTCAGGACAAATGGGCGACGACATTAGGCCTTTGTCTGACAGGAGAAGCGCTCACGGTGGTTGGTCGCATGACACCCACGGACGCGTTGGACTATCCTAAAGTAAAGCTGGCTCTGCCCCAGAGATTTTGGGTACACAAAGGAGGGATACCGTGAGAGATTTCGGGATGCTAAACCCGAGGAGGGTGAAACTAGGAGGCAGTTCGCCGCTAAACTGGCAGGTTACTTTGATCGGTGGGTTGAGGTGTCAGAAACCGAAAAGACCTTCGAAGCGCTACGAGACACGGTTCTGGTGGAACAGTTTCTTGAGACCTGCTGTGTCAGTAAAAGCTGACCTCTTTTTAGAGGCGCAAGTGCAATCGAGCACAGGTGCACTGGAAAGAAACTGAGTGCAGGAGATCCAGGTAATAATGATAAAGGCGAGGCCAGGAGAAGTAGCCGCTGCTTTCTTTGTGGGAAACCGGGTCACAAAGCAGAAATTTGCCGGAGTAAAGCTCAAGGGTCTAAATCGCCCGCGTGTTGGAACTGTGGACGCATGGGTCACAGGGCTAATCAGTGCAAGGCGGGAGAGGACGGAAGACACCAGGCCTTTTGCCTGTGGACAAAGCCACCAGGAGATTGGGACGAGCCAGATGACTCCTTCGTCACTCTGAGGAGCGGAGACAAGGTACCTGTGGTAAACGCTGCCTTTGGGAATCCTCCAAAGTTCTTAGCAGATAACATGCCTGTGGTTGAGGGACGACTCGGGGACCGACGAATAAAGGTACTCAGGGACACCGGCTGTTACAGTGTGGTGATCAGGAAGGACTTGGTTCCTCTCGAAAAATTCACCGGAGAGTCGAGTGCCGTCTTTTTATTGGACAGCACGGTCAAGTATCTACCTGAAGCGAAGATTTCGGTCCGGACGCCGGTCTACACAGGCACGGTTCTAGCGAAGTGTATCGAAAATCCATTGTATGATCTGGTGCTGGGGAATATCCCGCAAGTCCGAAATGCGGACGATCCAGACCCAGATTGGGAAAAGACAAATGAAGTGACACCTGGGAGCCCATACGACCGGGTCGAGCAGTGTCGACGATCCGAAAGGTGGTCTGATGTTTACGGAGGGTCCGGCTCAGTCAAGAACAATGAGGAGTCGTGTCAGGTGAATCTAGCGGAAATTGCTGCCGTTCGCGGTACGAGCGTCACGCGAAGTGGAGAAACGAAAAACAAAGAGGCATTCCTGAAGGTACCGCAGGTATCAATGATCGATACGACTCCAGAAGCACTCGCTAAAGAGCAGAGAGAAGATGACACACTCAGTAGGTGTTTTGATGTGGTTGGGGAAATCACGAGAAAGCCTAAGTCTAGGACAAAGTTTCAGTTCGTCGTGAAAAACGACCTGTTACACAGATCTGTTGAGTACACGTCGGGAGAAAGACAACTCAACTGGTACTCCCGAAGAAGTTTCGACCGGCAGTGATAACGCTCGCGCATGATGGCATAATGTCCGGGCCCCAAGGGATGAAGAATACGCTAAGCCTGGTGACAGAAGAGTTTTTCTGGCCTGGGATCCAAAGCGAGATCAAAAGATACGTCAGGTCATGCGACGTCTGTCAACGCATGGTGCCGAAGGGTAAAGTGGGTAGGGCTCCCTTAGGAAATATGCCCACGGTCGAGACGCCTTTCGAGAAAGTAGCCATCGACATTATTGGACCTATCACGCCGATGTCGAGTGCGGGAAACAAGTACATCCTGACCATGATAGACATGGCTACAAGATATCCAGGCGCAGTAGCGCTGCGGGCCGTTGGATCTGAGCAGGTAGCAGAAGCTCTGGTCGAGATGTTTACACGCTACGGCGTGCCAACAGGGGCCCTAAACTCGTCAACCACAAAGTTGGAGCCGAAAGTTCGTGGAGCGCGCCGATTGGACATCGGCGACAGAAACGCCAAGTCATCGTCGTGAATATCCAATCGGTGCGCTCCGTCAACCTCGGCCCCAACTTTGTGTTTGACGAGTTTAGGGCCCTAGATACTCAGCGACCGCGGGACTAACTTTACATCAGACCTGATGAAAGAAGTAAGCCGTTTATTATCAATGAAGCACATGCTCACCACGCCCTACCATCCCATGTGCAATGGATTGGTCGAGAGGTTTAACGGCACTATAAAACAAATGTTAAGAAGAATGTGCCAAGAGAGGCCCAAGGACTGGGACAGGTACCTCTCAGCGCTGCTCTTCGCATATAGGGAGGTTTCACAATCAAGTTTGAAGTTTTCTCCTTTCGAGCTGCTGTACGGCAGGAGAGTGCGAGGGCCCATGGCCATTCTCAAAGAAATGTGGTCGAGCGAAAGGGTGGAAAATGAGGCGAAGACATCGTACAGCTACGTGCTCGAACTGAGAGAGAAATTAGAGAACACGTGCGAGTTGGCGCACAAATGCTTGGAGGAGGCGAAGGCTAAATATAAAAGCTATTATGACAGAAGGTCTTAGAACCGCAAAATGAAGCAAGGTGACTTGGCTTTGATCCTTCTTCCAACAGATGCCAACAAAATGATCATGCAATGGAAAGGACCCTTCGTGGTGACGGCAAGAAAGAACGAGGTCGATTACGAGTTGGACGTGGGAGGGAAGACGAAGGTCTTTCACGTCAATATGTTAAAAAAGTACGAGGAGAGGGAGACGACTCGACAAGAGCAGACTGCCTGTCATGTCGCAGCTGAGATCAAAAATGAAGCTCTAGAAGAGCGAAGCTTCGAAGACGCCGGAGAGGTCCCCACAGCGAGCTGGACGTAGCAACAAGGATG